ATATTGCTTTATTTGTTTACAGGGGAAATGCATGCCATCTGGGGGTCTAGTCAAACTAAAATGAATTAAGGATTTTGTTTGTGTGACTTCTTTTTCATTCACCAATTTTTATGCCGTAATATGTCATAGTTGGGGGAAAAATAAAAAAACAATCCAGCCATGATTACATAGTGTCTTTCATTCGCTCTTATGGCAGTCACTCTACAGGCATTGTTTTCTACTCTAATTCTCATCTCGTCTTGGTTAGTCATCATTATCGACTGAGCACAGTGCTGTGCAGTGTGATATATCTCAGCCGCAAAAATCATTCTTCTTCGTTAAATCCTCTGCACTTGCAGCTGTCTGCTGAGCTTCACTCTCCACCAAGATGCAGACGCTGCATTTTCTTTGATTGTGTTTGTGGCACATTCCTGAATGCTTCTTGGGAAAAAAATTATTCTAAACCAATAAATCAAATCAATAAATAACTCAATAAATCTCTTTTGCTTTACAAACATCATCAATCTTTAGCAGAATGAGTCACTAATCCTTATCCCTACCTTTTGGACCCTTTGAAACTATTTCATCTACTACTACATTCTCTTTGGGTCTGGTGTTAATACTTGCATTAGATAATACACTTGACCTTACACAAGACCCAAAGGCATTTGACCTTAGGAGTCAATTTCAATGAACTCTGTTTTCCTTAAGAGACTTACACGGGTAATGGAATATGTCAAAGACAATATTCACTAGTAGTGAATTCAGTAGTGTAGTTTAAACAAAAATCTTATTTATGTAGTAAAATTTACTTCTTGGCATAATATATTATATATGTAATTTATAGATACATACATGTATTATGTCCTAAGAATCAAACCGGAATATTATATATGTATATGAGGTACATTAAACATATTCAAATGCAGTATGAATACTGTATTTAATTACTGAGAAATAGACATATGTAGCATGTTGTATACACATGTTATATACATACATGTTGTGTATATACATCTAATCTTTTTGTTAACCCCAGCCTAGTGTGCATTCGACATTCTGCCTAGACTTCCACTGATGCAGATGTGTACTCATGTTAAGAACCAGAAACAAGGATTACAAATAATTTGTCAGTGGTTTAAAGTTTTGTCACGCTCTTAAGGTCTCAGTGACCATTTAATTCAGCTCCCAGCATTTCCTGACTGACTGAATAATTTACCTCTGCTACCATGACTGCATGTGATCTACCTATTATTTCTTAGAATCCTCTACTCTTCTGCTGTTCATTTTAGTGTTTGCCATATTTCCTGCCTTCCTGCTCTGTGACCTGCTTCTGATTTCCCAGATGTCTATGAATGGCAAGAGCACTCAAAATTTCTTCCTGTTAAGAAATATTGATTGACTCCTGCCTCCACAAAATATGATTTCTCTAGAAATCAATATTTTTTCCACCTATCTTTGAAAAGCCAAAAGATAGTATCCACCAATCTATGACTCTTTCTTTTCCTATAGCTTCCAGTTGTTCTCAGCTGGGTCATAGAATTTTAGTTTATCTACCTCTTCATAGTTCATTATAAAGATTGTCTGCCTTCAACATTGCTGTAGGTCTCAAATAACCCTTGACAATAATGGTTCCTGAAGAAAGTAGCCTTGTAGATTAAACTCTGAAAGGCAAGATGTGGCTACAGGTGTGTTCTTAATATGAAAAATCATTTGCTTATTTAGGTAGGAGACATACAGTTTGTAAATCACCCCGTAAAGAAACAGAGACCTGGGAAGGCAAATCAGTTTACTACTCCATCAGGTACATAGAAAGTTAAGACCAGATTTTATGTCTCTCCTGTTTTTGTTTCAAAAAACTCAGTATTTTTAAAAAAATTAATTAAAAGTAAATTAGTGTGTGTTACTTTGAAACTTATAACAATTTAAGACTTATAAATGGTTTTAGTCAAAGAAGCCTTTCCAAATGTTTTGTGTAAACATTTTATAAATTTATATGTGTAAATTTGACATAATTTTTCAATAAAATAGGTAGTATATGTAAGATATCCCCTATATACTTATTTCAAATATAATATACAACAAAAATCTTATTTATGCATTACTTACTATGCATTAATGAAACAACATGCATGCTTACACTAAGTATTCTATATTACATATACAATATGTATATGTGTATATATACACACAATATGTATATGTAATATAGAATATATATACACAATATGTATATGTAATATATACATATATATACAATGTCTATTATATATACAATATATATGTATGTTGTATATATATTATATTGTATATATATATACACACAATATTATATATACATATTGTGTATATATATTCTATATGTAATATAGAATACTTTTTTTAGAAACCTTTTTATTAACTTTTCTTTAAAGTCCCAGCCTAGTATGAATTCTTTATTGTATTCTATATTTTGTTTCTTAGTATTCTATAAAATACTTAGTATTCTATTTTGTGTTTCTAATTTTATAATGTACAAAGAAAGTTTGTTTAATACTTAGGAGAAATATTAAACCTTTTAACTTAGTTTTTAACAAGACTATTTCTTTAATATCCCATTATTTTATGCATCCTAGTACAAATAAATAATCTGTAATTTTTAATTCTTCCAAAAAAAAGGTTAATGAAGTTTTAGAATTCATATGAAAAAAGAAATCCACATTCTATTTTTAAGTCTTATTCCTGGGATAGTTAAAATTCTTGAACAGTTCATCTTGTGCAAACATTAAGAGGTTTTATCCTGGTCTTTTTGCTGTGGGTTTATCAAGCATTCGCAATGTTTCACAGGTATGGTAGACTGTCTTTGTGCTCATGGACTATGCATAACCTTTGTGAATAGCTAGTAGTAAAGGTAATTTTTGTTCATGTTCAATTGTAGTTTTCTCTCTCTCTTGCTTACTGTCTTGCCATCTCCCTCTCTATCTTTACAATGTGTTGCTATATCCACAGCTGAGATATCCTGAAGAAATCATGTTTTAATTGGTTTTATAATTTTTCCCATTTGATAACACCTTTTGCAGCTACATGTAAGAAAGTTTGTAAAAAGTAAAGAAATAGTAAAAGAAAAAATAAAGATTTACAAGAAGATGTAAAATATCAAGCCGTGTATCTTGAAAATGTTTCCTTTGAATGACACTTGGAGTCTGGGAGTCATGCCAGAAAGTAAAAGCATTTTGGCTGTGTAGCTTCATGAGACCAAAAGATCAAATATTTTTTCATAATCTCTCAAGCAAAAGTTATTTGCTTGATTTATAGTCTATTTCCTCCATACTCAGAGGAGAAAAGTAGATGATATAAAGACACAAAAAATATTAAGGGAAGTGATTTGCTTGCATTATTGAAATGCAGGATTTTATGCTCGTTGGGATAGATAACATCACTGTAATCATGAAGTGGACATTGTGGTTCGTCTATAGTCTACACTCTTCAATACATGCCTATATTTATCATCTTTAAGTGAGGTAACCAAAGAAACATTATTTATTCTTAATATATTTTATTGTTTATACACACACACACACACACACACAGTGTTTTTGTTGTTGTTGTTGTTGTTGTTGTTTGTTTGTTTTGAGGAGTTTCATTCTTGTTGCCCAGGCTGTAGTGCAGTGGCACGATCTCAGGTCACTGTAACCTCCACCTCCTGGATTCAAGTGATTCTCCTGCCTCGGCCTCCTGAGTAGCTGGGATTACAAGTATGCGCCACCACGCCCAGCTGATTTGTATCTTTGGTGGAAACAGGTTTCTCCATGTTGGTCAGGCTAGTCTTCAACTCTCGATGTTAGGTGATCTGCCTGCCTCAGCCTCCCAAAGTGCTGGGATTACAGACGTGAGCCACCACACTGGGCCTAACATATTTTAGTGCATTCTATAGTCTTTAAAGTTAACATTGAGGGAGCATTAAATATTTTCTATAAATTTATTTTTTGTTTGGTTTGGTTTTTTTTGAGACAGTCTTGCTCTGCCGCCAGGCTGGAGGGCAGTGGGGCAATCCCGGCTCACTGCAACCTCTGCCTCCTGGGTTCAAGCAATACTCCGCCTCAGCCTCCCGAGTAGCTGGACCACAGGTGCGTGCCCCCAGGCCTGGCTAATTTTTGTATTTTTAGTAGAATCGGGGTTTCACCATGTTGGCCAGGATGGTCTCGATCTCTTGACCTTGTGATCCACCCGCCTCGGCCTCCCAAAGTGCTGGGATTACAGGCATGAGCCAATGCACCCGGCCTTTATAAATTTCTATGTTAAAAATAGAACTGTAGTTTTAGGGCATCATTTTTAGTATTTTTAACATTTTTTTAACTTCTTTCAAAATTGTGGCTAAAAGTACTACAATGAAAAGCATATATTAAATATTAAGCATTACCAAGATAAATCATTTGCATTTTGCTCCTATTTGTTTCCAGCCTTTTCTTGTTGCCACACCTTATTAACTAATAGAAATCCTAAACTGGAGTGCGGTTGCTTATGCCTGTAATCCCAGCACTTTGGAAGGCTACTGTGGGAGGATCACTTGAAGCCAGGATTTCAAGACCAGCCCAGGCAACATGGTGAGATTCTGTCTCTATAAAAGTGAAACAAACAAATTAGCCAGGCTCCGTGGTATGTTCCTGTAGTCCTAGCTACTTGGGAAACTGAGGGAAGAGGATCACGTGAGCTTAGGTGTTCAAAGCTGCAGTGAACTGTGTTTACAACATTGTACTTCAGCCTGTATGACAGAGGGAGACTACCAGAAAAGGAAGAAAGGAAGAAACAAACAAAGACAACCTCACTTTACACCTGGTATGTGGGTAAATATTTGACAGTCTTCTATGTAAAAAAAAATTGTATATTTTCCTGTATACTATAAAGAACAACCAGTTGTTCACCTTTTGTGTTTTACTCACATGATACATTCTTATTTATATGACTGAGTAAAAGAAGCATTTCAACAAGAAAGTAATAAAAGCAATATATCCTTCCCTGATGTCACTGCTTACCTTGTCTGATTGTAGAACTGTCTGTTTATAATAACAATAATTTGCCCACAGTGTAACTATAAAGTGACATCCTCCAGAAAGATGATATTTTCTTCTGTCAACTTTTCCACAGTCCCATTTTCCCAGAACAATTTCCACTTTGTGGTATAGCTGTAAAATTTGAATGTTATCCTGAAATAAATATTGAAATGATGTCAACATATATGGTTCAATGAAGTTAAAGGGATATAGAAGAAAATTATTTATTTATCATAATTAAAAAAATTACAACTAAAAAATTAGAAGTCCAGGTTGCTGTTCATTGCAGGACAGAGCTGGCTAAGAGTAATTTTTTAGATAAAAATAATTAACATAAAAATGTTAAATGAAACCCAGTGTAGGTGGGGTTTGTGAAGGGTGGGAATGATGTTTAGTAACAAAGAGAGATAAGAGTCAAGCTGCTACCTTGAATCTTGTTAAGTATAATCCAATCTATTACATTATTCAATCATTGTAAATAAAAACTTAGGAAGTACATATATCATAAGTATATTATTCTCGTTGTACCAGTTTTTATTGTAACTGCTCCAAGTCTTAAGAAAATCACCCCAAAAATCTTCACTGAAAGAATCTTAGATTCAAATCGAGTGATTATTCTGCCGGACACTGTCATAAGCATGTTATAAGCTAAGCACTGTCATAAGCATGTTATAAGCTAAGCACCGTCACGAGCATGTTATAAGCTAAGCACCGTCACGAGCATGTTGTAAGCTAAGCACCGTCACGAGCATGTTGTAAGCTAAGCACCGTCACGAGCATGTTGTAAGCTAAGCACCGTCACGGGCATGTTGTAAGCTAAGCACCGTCACGGGCATGTTATAAGCTAAGCACCGTCACGGGCATGTTATAAGCTAAGCATCGTCACAGGCATGTTATAAGCTAAGCACTGTCATGCCTTAGCTCTTTTCACCCTCATGGCAGCCCTCTACATTGGATACTATTATTAAATCTGTATCACCGATGGGAAAATTAAGGAGGCAAAATTTCCAAAATCATATATCTAGTGAGTAACCATTCTCAAAACAATTCTGTTGGAACACTCATCAGTTTAGAATATTGTAAAAATAATTTCATTAAAAAATCCCTGTTGGGCATGCCATCCTCAAATCTAACCCCCTTACTATTTGGCTTTTAAACCTGCTACAGGTTACACTAAAATTGTACGTGCACGACAGCATGCCATCATACGATAGACGTGATATATACCTGGTCAGATCCAAGCAGATGCTGGACATAAGTAAGTTATGTAAAGAAGAGGTCTAAATGCCCATGGTCCCTACTCGTGCTACACTAATTTCACTCTGTCTTCACCTGTGAGCTTGTGGTTACTTCTCTGTGATCAGTTGACAGAGGACAAGAACACCCAGATCTGGTTTGTAGCTGGTTCTCCATAGTATGCAGGTACCACCCAAAAATGGAAAGCTGCAGCACTATGTCCCCTCTCTGGGACATCCCTGAAGGACTGGGATAAGAAGAATCTTCCCAGTTGTCAGAACTTAAGGCAGTGTACCTGACTGTGCATTTTACTTTAAGATAGAAATGACCGGATGTGAGATCATATACAGATGCATGGTTGTAGCCAATGATCACAGACTGGGAATCAACGTGATTGGAAAATTGGTTACAAAGAAATTTGGAGAAGAGCTATGTAGATGGACCACCCTTAATGAGCAACAATCAGTGAAAAATATTTCTTTTCCATGTGAAAGCTTACCAAAATGTGACCTCAGCAGAAAGAGATTTTTTTGCTGGCCCAGGAGTCTTAGTTCCAGAGGGGAGAATGTTTCCACCAGGAGACACAATGACTCCATTTAACTGGAAGTTAAGACTGCCACCCCGCCACTTTTGACTCATGCCTCTTAGTCAACTTGCAAATAAAGGAGTTAGGGCTTTGACTAGGGTGATTAATCCAGGATGACCAATGGAAAATTTGACTACTACTGCACACTAGAGATAAGAAAGACCAAAGATTCCTTAGAGTGTTTCTTAGTATTACCCAGCCATGTGATTAGGTAAATGGAAAACTCTAATAACCCAATCAAGGCAGGACTACAAATGACTCACACCCTTCAGTAATGAAAGTTAGGGCAACTCCACCAGGTAAAGAACCACAGGCAGCTGAGGTTCTTGCTGAAGGCAAGGGAATAGAGATGTGCAGTTTAAGAAGATAGTTACAAGTACCAGTTATAATCACATGACCACTACCAGAAACAAGGACAGTAATTGTCATGAGTATTATATCTTTATTTTGTTATAAATACACACACACATATATATACATATATTAAGCTAGTATATTTGTTTTCTTTCCTTATGTCCTTATCATGTAACATAATGTGTTACAGTATTTATGGAGTATTAATTTTATATAATAATATTTGAGTTACAGAATATCAGAACACACATCATCCAAGGACTTTACCTACACTTCTGGGGAAAGGGCTTAGTGCATTTTTGGTTGTACACTGTTTAGTCATATAATATTAGCTGAAATTATAGCCTTGATATTGTCTTCATTTAGACATTAAACATGGCGTAAGGTGATTGTATGGATGACACACTGACAAGGAGATGAAAAGAACCAGTAACTGACTGAGCTAACAAATGCTCATATGGCTTGTGAAACATTATTTCTGGGTTGGATTGTGAGGGTGATTCTGGAGGGTGGCAGCATATGAGTTAGTGAACTGAGTAAGGCAGATGGGCCTCTCCAGTATGGGTTGACATCATCCAATCTGCTGAGAGTTTAAACAGAACAAAAAGATGAATTCTCTTTCTCTACATGAGCCACAGCTTCCATCTTCTTCTGCCTTTCTTCCCTTCAAACCATGTAGAATATGATAGCAAGGATCCACCTGGTTCAGATGCAGCTCAGGACTTAGACCATCAGTCCCCCAATTATCGGGCTTACGGACTTCCCCTCCTATTTCTGCAGCTTTCAGAGGATAGATCATGAGATTTTTTTATTTCCATAATTATGTGAGCCAATTCCTCTAATGAATTTCTATATACTAATTTATAGAAATTCATTGCATTGAATTATTTTTATCATTTTAGTGTAGTAATTTTAATGTATCATAACATTTTTTGCATTAACCCCATCCAGAAAGTGATACGTCCTAAGAATGTTTCAGTACCATACAGAATATGGTAGTAAGGCTGTAGCTGGGTCTCCCGGACTAAAACAAAGACTGAAAAATCACAGGCCCCAACGGAGATGCGTCTTTTCATTTACTATTGTCTCCTTGTTCTGTATGTCTGCTTGCTTTTATTACTCCAGATAGCTGTCTTTTACTTCTTTCGTCTTCTAGTTAAGAAGATAGTACCAGATGTATTGATGAGAAGTTCCATGTATCATCTCCATGTAAACCATAACTGTTGGCCATTATAAACACATCAAGTATTTAAAAGCTCTGGAAATTGTTCTATAGCACATTTTTTTAAAAACATTCATTCAAGACGGTTTATTAAATCTCAGTAACAAAAGCGAGAGTCTGTGGCACTTGAGACACAACACATCTTCTTCCTCCCCACACCCAAGCTCAACATGACAGGAATTCTACATTAAGTTGATATTGTCAAGATGAATTGCCTTCTCCCATTAGTCCCAGCTGTCAATCAAAGAGCATGATATTTCACTGGGTAGGCCTCCAGTATTTGTACCCCTTCCAAGACTGAGTTGCAGAGAGTAAATTTCTGGTGAGTGCAAAGAAAATCCAGGTACTTCCCTCCTCCACTAGCTTTTATCCAGGCAGGGCAGGCCAAGAATAATGAGGCAGTAAATAGGGTGACAGCAGCTCACTGACAGGGTGAAGTTTCCATATTGGCAGAAGCACGCTGAGAACAGTGGCTGTCCACTCCAGTACCAGGAACAATGACTGAGATTATGCCCATGGTGAGAGGAATTCATAACAACAGAGAGCTCTAAAGTTTTTCCAAAAAAAAAAAAAAACAAAACTATCATTATCTGAAACAGAAAAAGGGGAGTTTCAAGCCTAAGAACATCCCTGAAAACAATAGAGATTTTGGGGGTAAATAATAAAGACAAGGCTGGTAGTTCTGTGAGAGTAACCAGCTACATCATAAGCCAACCAGTTTATCAAGAAAAACCCTGAAAAAAGACAGACAAAATGAGCTCTTCTGATATCAAAACAAACTCACAAGAGTCCGTCTAAAATTACTCCCGCTTATATTTCACTGGAGTAGACTGTGAATTTGTATATTAGTATTTATTTCCCCAGGCATTATTTAAAATGACAGAGCAATCAGCCAGCAATTCATGAATCCTAACAGTTGAGAGTGATACAAAAGGAGGCAGACAGGCAGACAGTGCAATGGAAACAGAAAGAAACAATCAAAGAAAGCTATGGTACAAGCACTGTTATCCTAGGGTGACTGTGTGCATACCTAAGGCTGCATCATCTGAGATATAATATTAGAGGCTTCACATTGTAGGGTAAGTAGACTTCACTTACATACTGTGACCAAGTCACTAAACAAATAAACCATCAAACTATAACAAAAGCAGCCTCAGAGAAGGGGAAAAACAATTATTGTCCAGAATTTTTATATCACTCCAAAATTCCAATAAAAATCATAAAAAAAGAGACATGGAAATAAACAATAAAGATTGAGCCAAAACTGGTAACATAAACTGTCTCTGCGAGATTACCATTGTTGAACTTAACAAAAAATTTAAAATAGCCATTATTAGATAGCCTGAAAAACTGAAGAAAGCCATGTTTAAAGAAGTAAAAGAAGCTATAATGACGGTGTCTCATCAAACAGGGGCTGCTAGTACAGAGATATAAATTACAAAAAAGAACCAAATGGCAATTCTAGGATTGAAAAGTATAGCAAATGAAATAAAAATTTCACTGAAAGGGTTTAAGACTAGATTTATACTGGTCCAGGAAATAACCAGTGAACTTGAAATAGGTTACTTGAAATTATGCAATTCAAGACAGAAGGAAAATAATTTATAAATGAAGAGACTCTATAGAAATCTGGAAGACCAGTAGTCACACCAACATATGGGTAATGAATATTACCAACATTTAGGTAGTGAATCTCAGAAAGTGAGGAGAAAGAGACTGGAATAAAAAAAATAAAGAAATAATGGGTGAAAACTT